AAAAAAAAAAAAAGAAAAAAAGAAAAAAGAAAAAAAACAAAAAAACTTTCTTCAAAAAAAAAAAAAAAACAGAAATGAAAAAAAAAAAAAAAATCATTAGGAAAAAAAAGAAAAAAAATGCCTGTAAAAAAAACAAAAAAAGAGGCTGAAAAAAAAAGAAAAAAAGAGGTCAGAAAAAAAAGAAAAAAATAGCCAACAAAAAAAAGAAAAAAATATTCTAAAAAAAAAAAAAAAAAACAGGCGTGAAAAAAAAAAAAAAAAACCCCAGGAAAAAAAAAAAAAAAAGCACGGAAAAAAAAAAAAAAAAAAGGCGGAGCAAAAAAAAGAAAAAAATGCCCCACAAAAAAAAAAAAAAAACGATAGAGAAAAAAAACAAAAAAAAAGAAAAAAAAAAAAAAAAAAAAAGAAAGAAAAAAAAAAAAAAAAAAATATTTAGTAAAAAAAAAAAAAAAACAGGAATAAAAAAAAAGAAAAAAACCAGCAAAAAAAAAAACAAAAAAAGCATACTGAAAAAAAACAAAAAAACTCGCAGTAAAAAAAAGAAAAAAATCGTCACCAAAAAAAATAAAAAAATGAAGATGAAAAAAAATAAAAAAAGGGACTGCAAAAAAAATAAAAAAAACCAGGACAAAAAAAAAAAAAAAAGCTTTGCCAAAAAAAACAAAAAAACCACGCCTAAAAAAAACAAAAAAAAAAACATTAAAAAAAAAAAAAAAATTTACTGTAAAAAAAACAAAAAAAACTACAGTAAAAAAAAAAAAAAAATTTTAACAAAAAAAAAGAAAAAAATACTCCCGAAAAAAAACAAAAAAAGTCGTGGAAAAAAAAACAAAAAAAGGCTTCGGAAAAAAAACAAAAAAAGCAAGCCTAAAAAAAACAAAAAAACGGGGTTTAAAAAAAACAAAAAAAACGGTACTAAAAAAAACAAAAAAAGTCCCAGAAAAAAAAATAAAAAAACAAGAGAAAAAAAAAAGAAAAAAATAACATTTAAAAAAAACAAAAAAATCTTTGCAAAAAAAAACAAAAAAACAGTATGGAAAAAAAACAAAAAAACAAGCAATAAAAAAAACAAAAAAAAGGCATTTAAAAAAAAAAAAAAAACAAATCTGAAAAAAAAGAAAAAAAAATAAGTGAAAAAAAAAAAAAAAATTTAACACAAAAAAAAAAAAAAAAAGTTACATAAAAAAAAAAAAAAAACTCTGTGCAAAAAAAAGAAAAAAACGAAGGCCAAAAAAAACAAAAAAAGCCCCTGCAAAAAAAAGAAAAAAAATCGAGAAAAAAAAAATAAAAAAACAAACGGGAAAAAAAAAAAAAAAAGCTAAGCCAAAAAAAAAAAAAAAAGGCAGGGTAAAAAAAACAAAAAAACTGGGACAAAAAAAAACAAAAAAAGGTATTGAAAAAAAAAAAAAAAAAGCCCCGGGAAAAAAAATAAAAAAACCCACTCCAAAAAAAATAAAAAAAGACAGACAAAAAAAAACAAAAAAAACACTTTCAAAAAAAACAAAAAAAGAATCGTTAAAAAAAAAAAAAAAAAGGAAACCAAAAAAAACAAAAAAAAGCTGAAAAAAAAAAAGAAAAAAATTTGCCACAAAAAAAATAAAAAAATGAGAAGCAAAAAAAATAAAAAAAAGACTTATAAAAAAAACAAAAAAACTCTCCCAAAAAAAAACAAAAAAAAGCGGAATAAAAAAAAAAAAAAAACATCTGCTAAAAAAAAGAAAAAAATGCAGTGGAAAAAAAAAAAAAAAACCCAGTTTAAAAAAAATAAAAAAATTAGGTCCAAAAAAAATAAAAAAAAGACAGAGAAAAAAAATAAAAAAAAGGCTGGAAAAAAAAAGAAAAAAATCGGCTCAAAAAAAAAGAAAAAAATCCCCGGTAAAAAAAATAAAAAAACCTCAGCCAAAAAAAAAAAAAAAACTACAGGCAAAAAAAACAAAAAAAGGCTAATGAAAAAAAATAAAAAAAAGAGATGGAAAAAAAACAAAAAAACCAGGATGAAAAAAAACAAAAAAACTCCTGATAAAAAAAACAAAAAAACCCAAGTGAAAAAAAAAAAAAAAAGAGCCACCAAAAAAAATAAAAAAAGAACTTCCAAAAAAAAAAAAAAAAATGGCCCTAAAAAAAAAAAAAAAAAAAGACATAAAAAAAAGAAAAAAATTACCAAAAAAAAAAATAAAAAAATCTTCCACAAAAAAAAGAAAAAAAGTAATTCTAAAAAAAAAAAAAAAATTGACTGGAAAAAAAAAAAAAAAACATTAACTAAAAAAAATAAAAAAAGTGGCAAAAAAAAAAAGAAAAAAATAGAATGTAAAAAAAATAAAAAAAATTCTCTTAAAAAAAATAAAAAAAAAGCCAAAAAAAAAAATAAAAAAAAAAAGAATAAAAAAAAGAAAAAAACAAATATCAAAAAAAATAAAAAAAGACAGAATAAAAAAAATAAAAAAAAGACAGAGAAAAAAAATAAAAAAAAGGCTGGAAAAAAAAAGAAAAAAATCGGCTCGAAAAAAAATAAAAAAACTGGGTTCAAAAAAAACAAAAAAATCAGCCTCAAAAAAAACAAAAAAAACAGGTGCAAAAAAAAAAAAAAAACTAATTTTAAAAAAAATAAAAAAAATGGGGTTAAAAAAAATAAAAAAAGCTGGTCTAAAAAAAATAAAAAAAAGTGATCCAAAAAAAACAAAAAAACAAAGTGCAAAAAAAACAAAAAAAAGCCACCGAAAAAAAACAAAAAAACAGAATTTAAAAAAAAGAAAAAAATGCAAATAAAAAAAAATAAAAAAACATGAAAGAAAAAAAAAAAAAAAAGCTTCTAAAAAAAAAATAAAAAAAGAAGTCCCAAAAAAAACAAAAAAAGGGCAGGGAAAAAAAATAAAAAAAGTTCAAGGAAAAAAAAAAAAAAAACAACACGAAAAAAAAAGAAAAAAATTGCTTTCAAAAAAAACAAAAAAAGTTTTATCAAAAAAAAGAAAAAAAAAAAATCCAAAAAAAACAAAAAAACACTAATCAAAAAAAATAAAAAAATCAGAAATAAAAAAAAAAAAAAAAGAATTCACAAAAAAAAGAAAAAAACGGAGGCCAAAAAAAATAAAAAAAACGGAAACAAAAAAAACAAAAAAAGCCTGGCCAAAAAAAATAAAAAAAGAGGCGTGAAAAAAAATAAAAAAAACGATGTGAAAAAAAACAAAAAAATGTCTGTCAAAAAAAACAAAAAAAATGGCATTAAAAAAAATAAAAAAAGGGAAGGAAAAAAAAATAAAAAAACATGGGAAAAAAAAAAAAAAAAAATTGACTGCAAAAAAAAAAAAAAAAAGGTGTCAAAAAAAAACAAAAAAAAAGATTGTAAAAAAAACAAAAAAAGTCCTCTTAAAAAAAATAAAAAAACAGGTTCTAAAAAAAACAAAAAAACGGAGAAGAAAAAAAAGAAAAAAATGCCGTCCAAAAAAAAAAAAAAAATCAAGCCGAAAAAAAATAAAAAAAACGCTGGAAAAAAAAACAAAAAAAGAGAGCTGAAAAAAAAAAAAAAAAGCAATTAAAAAAAAAACAAAAAAAAACCTTCGAAAAAAAACAAAAAAATATGACCTAAAAAAAAAAAAAAAAACTTCAGAAAAAAAAACAAAAAAAAGGGTCCTAAAAAAAACAAAAAAATTGGATCTAAAAAAAAGAAAAAAATTGGTAGAAAAAAAAAAAAAAAAAAGGTGGCTAAAAAAAAAAAAAAAAGCCAGATCAAAAAAAACAAAAAAAGAGCAGCAAAAAAAAATAAAAAAAATCTCTGCAAAAAAAAAAAAAAAAGCAGTGGAAAAAAAAACAAAAAAAGTGGCCACAAAAAAAAAAAAAAAAATCAAGGCAAAAAAAAGAAAAAAAGAAGGACGAAAAAAAACAAAAAAACAGCTCTCAAAAAAAACAAAAAAACCCGCAGGAAAAAAAATAAAAAAACAGGTGCCAAAAAAAAGAAAAAAATGCCCCAAAAAAAAAACAAAAAAATGGGCCACAAAAAAAATAAAAAAAACCACCGCAAAAAAAATAAAAAAACCCCAGAAAAAAAAAAAAAAAAAAAAATGGCTAAAAAAAACAAAAAAAAAAGGAAAAAAAAAAACAAAAAAAAAAAAAGAAAAAAAAAGAAAAAAACCTAGGAGAAAAAAAACAAAAAAACCCACAGTAAAAAAAAGAAAAAAATTCCCACCAAAAAAAAAAAAAAAACCTTTTAAAAAAAAAAAAAAAAAAAAAAAAAAAAAAAAAAAAAAAAAAGGAGAATAAAAAAAAAGAAAAAAAAATGTTCAAAAAAAAATAAAAAAAGAGGTCAAAAAAAAAACAAAAAAATTTGACTGAAAAAAAACAAAAAAAGGAAAGGAAAAAAAAAGAAAAAAAAAAGGGGTAAAAAAAAGAAAAAAATTCGCCTCAAAAAAAAGAAAAAAACTGATTGCAAAAAAAATAAAAAAAAATGTTGGAAAAAAAATAAAAAAATCACTAAAAAAAAAAAGAAAAAAAAAATCTTGAAAAAAAACAAAAAAATTAAAAGAAAAAAAAACAAAAAAAGGGTTGAAAAAAAAAAGAAAAAAACCTGTGGAAAAAAAAATAAAAAAATCAGCCACAAAAAAAACAAAAAAAATGAACCAAAAAAAAATAAAAAAAATAAAGACAAAAAAAACAAAAAAAGCAAAGGTAAAAAAAATAAAAAAACTGCTCAGAAAAAAAATAAAAAAAGCTCCCCAAAAAAAAACAAAAAAATCCCATGCAAAAAAAAAAAAAAAACTCACAGAAAAAAAAACAAAAAAACACTCCATAAAAAAAATAAAAAAACTGCCTTCAAAAAAAAGAAAAAAACCTTTCACAAAAAAAAGAAAAAAATGCACCTAAAAAAAAATAAAAAAAACAATTCCAAAAAAAACAAAAAAATTTTGTCAAAAAAAAAGAAAAAAAAATTGTCCAAAAAAAAGAAAAAAAATGCATGTAAAAAAAAGAAAAAAAAAGT